TTTGCTACCCATGCCACCTACGAGGCCCGAGAGCACAAGCCCCGACGAAACCGCGAAAGAAAAACCATTCGCGGCCGAGGCGTTGACGGATTTTTTCCAAAACGCCTTCAGTAGGACGACAATTTTTGCAGCCTATACAGTTATTTGGTGAACCGAGCTGTAAATTAAGATGTGATTTGAGGTGGAACGGATAACGCCTCGATTTCGCTGAAATTTGGCGGAGTCGGCACGAAACGCGACGAAACGGCCACGGTTTATGCGTATATCTTGGGTACATCTCGGCACTCATACCAGGTTGAAAACGATTCCTTGGGACCCTGAAAACCACTGCTAAGAGGAAAGCAGTCGGACGACCCGGCTGCCGTTCGACCCGGGTCCACAGTTTTTGGGAGCATGTATACTACGTGGGATTTTGGTGGTGTTTCAGCACGCACACCTCAAAAGTGATGGAATGGTCTTAGATGCGCATCATCCTGGATTGGTGCGAGTTTTGGATATCTATAATGATGTGGTATAGCATAGTTGATGCAACTGCAGCTGTGCTGATAGCACAAAATTCGTGTGGAGATTTGGGCGAATCTCATTTGAGTGAAAAAAAACAACGGCAAGATGTGCACATGTAGTGGGTGATCCCAGGGGTCAGAAATGGTCAGAATGAGCTGCAGCGCCGCAATTATTTCTGTTGGCCAAGTGAGTTTGAGGGCAATGTATTTAGCTTGGAAACAACATACTGAACGACATACTTAGTGCTTCGCTGGCCCTGCCGCAGAAGAGTTGTTTCATTTTTTGATGGTGATCTGAACGACATCCAAGACGACATCTTAACGACATCAGTACTTCTTCAAACTGACCAGTTGAAAGTCGTAGGATGTTTCATATTTTCCATGATGTAACAAGCAGAAAAATCTAGGGCCAAGAGGTAGGCCAGATTTCAGCAGGCACAGCAGCGCCTCCAAAGAGTGCGGGATGTTTCTGAGGATTAGGCTTCTTCTGACCATAGTACAGATTCTGACAGCACAGCCCCGTCCACACCCACGCGCCTGGACCAAAATCGCGCCCTGTTCCGTCCATCCACAGCCCCGTCCACACCCATGCACCCTGCCACTGATTTTCAGAGACCGCCTCTTCCCATTGCGATGACTTGACATTGGGATCCGGATGGATCCGGACCTCAGCCCATGCCATAGACCCTCGTGTTTGCGTTTAGTAATTAGCTCCCTTGTATTTGCCATAGGAATTGTATCATTGAGCTGTTCAGCAAAGCGAACCTCTTGGACGCATTGTGGATGTCAGGCGAAGACCTCCATGTTCTTCGTTCTGCCTCCCTTAGCCATCTTACTCTACAAGATGGGGCCACATCACTCAGAGGGTTTTTCGGGAGGGCGGAAGCTGGCTGAGAGTGACAAAAGAAGTGTCGAGAATGCTCATTTCATTTTTTCAACAACATCAACAACTGCTTTGACGCAAGAAATGTGGCTGCGGGTCAACACCCAGAGCCCACTAAACCCTGGTAGGTTGGCCTCCCCAGGTAACATCTATTCTTATTTTCCGTGGTCAACCCGTGCCCCCAAGCCATGACCCACAGCCGGCGACCTCGACCGACTAAGGTGAGTCCTCTTGGCGTTTCACCGGGTCAAGGCTGTGACCGAGTGATTTCTTCTTCGGCCACACGCAGGGTCGGATCGATGCGTTTGGGACGTTGTCCGCAGTTTCCGCATGCGTTTGGATGTGAAGGATGTGTTCGATCTCGATGTGTTTCTCTCTTTGCTTCAGGTGAATAGATTAAAACACCTGTGGTGTGAATCACTCTGTGTGTTTTGCGCAGTCTACGGGGGCTCAGCATCACCAAACTGCAAAAACCACGGCCCCAGTTACCATGAACAGGCTTTTGGGTCCAAAGCCGGAAAGTCCTCACTCTCCTCACGCTCAACTTGCGAGGTGCCCACGTTGGAGGTTGTGGACGGATCTGAGCAGCTGCGGCACGATGAAACAAGGAGAAAGCAGAGTTTACAAGAATCCATGTATCAATGTATCGCAGGCTGGACTGCCTCAAGAAAGAGGAAACCATTTGTTTCAGAGCGCCAATACCACATTTATAGACTGGAGGACAGCCATGCATGCTTTGCGCTGTCCCCTATCAAAGTATAAGTACATGTCAGAGCACCGTCAAAGGTATCACCGCTGGGCTTAATTGGCAGTGACAGGTTGTGATGAGGATGCGCTCTCCGGGCTTTAGGCATCATTTGCCTTGGATAAGAATTGTACAGTATGCATATGAACATATGCATGTGGGTTGCATATACGCCCTGGAAGATTAACATGGAACCTGAAAACCACTGGGTTGTAGAGAAAAATAGTCTTCCAAAGCTTCATTTTTAGGTTCCATGTTAATCTTCCCGGGTGTGTGCCTGTAGGCATCTCCTCTAAGGATGTACTGGCAAGGCAGACGTATAGCCTCAAGCCTTGGATATCGCTACCCCCCGGAAGAGCTCGCGGAGGCATCTTCGTCTCGGCACAGCCCGGAAGAGCCTTCTGCATGGGAATGGCGAGGCTGAGTCGTCGAAAAAAGAGCGTGAGAACGGGAGGGCGGATGGGGTTGTGGGACAGGATGGATGTGCTGTTTGCTGATGAACATCTCAGCCACGGCCAGAATATATGATCACCAGCAGTTCCATGTCAGGGCGCCGAACGAACAGAGGAGCGAAAGGGGTGCCCTGGGCACCAGTCACATCCACTCACTGAGGGCTAAAAGCACCCCCCTTTATGACTCGTGGATTAGAATAGTTATTGACTGACTGGAAAGACCTTTGGTTTGTGAAAGTCATGTTTACTGTAATTAGATTGACGAATGATTTTGATGTAAAATGGGGCGTGCCAACCTTTATTCTCGCTCGTTCTCGCTGGATGTCGTTATGTTGTTGCAGCCATTGGCTCCCCTCACATCTGACGGTCAAAGTTCCAGTTGTGGAGGGTTGATAGTGCATGGACATGGCAGGTGCCATGACCTTCAATTCCAATGTGCCAGGACCTTCAGTCAATGACCCCGTCTTGGAGTCTTGAAGTGAACCTTGTTACCGGCCGAAGTGACCTCATCCTGGTATATGTGATCTACTTTGAAGGTCCTGGTGGTGTTTGGTTAGAACCTACACAGTTGTTGTGAACCTCCACTAGTGGACCCGAACCCTCCTCTTGCTCAACAAATTGGTCCATCGAGCTACCGACATTGACCGACTCCAATGTATTTCTGTAAGAATGGTGTTTGCAGATTGCAACACACACAGAGGAAACACGTACCCTTGAAGACTCGACCGTCAGGTGACGGTTAACCAAGTCAACCCGCGTCTACTCCAAGTCGCCCAAGCCAAAGAGATGCCGGAAGTCGCACGGAAACACGCTTGAACGACCTCACATCACTCGTTCTCCGAACCAACGCGAGTCGCCCAATGGGAAATGAGTCGCCCAACGAGGCCCGCACCGTCCCAGCGCGTCCGATGCTGTGCGCCGCGAGAGCCGCGAGGGTCCCGAGCCAAAACCCACACCCGCAGCGCGGCGATTTCGCCGCGGACCGCGTGCCGCTGCAGGCGGAGTGCTTCAGTGACAATGAGAGAGCGGAGTACATCAACAAGCGTGTCTTGGCTTTATCGATGTTCTGAAAAGAACGGGAGGGCTGTGATAGAAGCACGAAGTAATTACTACGAGACTGTTCTTCTCCATGGGGGACGAAGCCAGATTCGGCTGTGTTCTTCACTGGCAAAATCGCGAACTCGATGTCGAACGGAGGTTGCCTTTTTCTCACTTAACTTCGACTGTTGTAAGCGCCAAAGGCGGAGTACGACCTGAGCCACACACTGAGGCTGTGCAAGTCGGGAATGAGAAAAACAGTGCCACTGCACTGATTTCACAGTGGTTTTGACCTTGTTTTCTTCACAGAGTTAGTCCTTGAATTCCCCGCAAGAAATTGAATTCCCCGAGATTGAACAGATTCCCAACACGCACAGGCAGGGCACGGACCGAGAGTGTTAACCCCTACGCTGAACGAGAATTGTCCTCTAGGTGTAGGACGTGCCTAGACGCGCCTAAGTCAGTCCTTGCTCAAGATGTTTCAAGGACGTGTCAACCTCTAATAGTGACCTGATTTGGTCACGCGTTCATCATATGTCATTTCTTCGTCTAAAAACAGCCACTCCTCCCTACCCCTGTGTTCTCAACCACCTCAAAATGTATGCCTAGCCCATACACCCCATGTGACTGGAATATACGATGCCGCCCCAGACAGACCTTCCAGTCAACCACCCCAGGTCGTTTCTGTTAGGCAGTCCCAACTGGCCCCATTTGGGTCGTGTCCATCGCCGGTCCAAGGTGTCCATCGCAGCTTACATCGTCTCGTTCAGGACCGATCGGCTCCGGCTCCGGACCGGACGGACGGGACGTGCGGACGGGACGTGCGGACGGGACGTGCGGACGGATGAAGCCGGATGAAGACGGACGTCCACCCGTGCGGTCTTTCGATGTGACGCGACTGGTTGGGAAACCCATATCGCCAAGCTTCAAACATCAATGAGACGTGAAGTGCTTTATAGTGCTGTCCACTCCTTGGACATTCCGGGGGAGGCACTTTGGCACGCGTTCGTGGCGGGCTTTGCCCGTGGGTTCAATCCTCAACACTCCGCTCATTCCATGGCAAGACCCCAATGGAGTGTGGGTCAAAGCATCACGACCCTGGCAAGACCAGATGACCAGAAGCAGCTTTTGGATGCTATAATGCGGATGTCAGCCAGTCTCGACCCTATAAGTCCGGTCTGACCCAGGTCCAAGCCTGGTCTTGAAAACCTCCTTGAGTATTCTAGTACTAATAGTGTTTGCTGTTTTTTGATGTTTTTGGTATGACCAACTCCAGTACCATGAGGTCCCTGCTTGACCTGCAGGGTCATGTTCAATCCCGATTTGGATCCGGTCTTTGATCATCATCCAAGATCAGCGACGTTCCCGGAAGTTGTTTGATGTGGTCTCAGGACTTGAACCTGAGCGATGATGAATTGCAGAGGCACCGGACTGAGTCATGCAGAGCCAAGCAATTGTCTCCCTATAGGGCTCCAAGTGCCTCAGAAGGTATGACTGGACCCTCCTGGCACCCACCCCAGTCCCACCTTCTCAGAAATTACTTGGAGCCCTAGGGTCTGGCAGAGGACCCGCTGGACGGTCTCCGAGTCACGCAGATCGCCCCTGTGGACGGAGAAACTCATCGAGTCACCAGTGCAGCCAAACCATCACAAAGGCTCCGTTCAAGGCTATATATTCACAACCCGGACCGGACCGGTCTCTCAAAAACTGGATTGGTGAGACCCCAGACCCCTGACCCGATCGGATGCGGGTCCTGCAGGCTTCTCCCCTCCTGACTGATTCCTGTCCTTCTCCCCTTCCGGTCGCTCGTCTGGTGCGCTGTGCGGCCGACCTGGCCGCAGGCTGGGCCGCGAGCATTTTCGAGACCAGTTCAACTACTTGCAGCAGTTCAGTCCGCACGAGCTGGAGAGATTGGAAGACCGGTGTTCTCGTTGTCCCGGAACCACCGCGGGAGCAGGGCGGGATCCGGTTTCTGGATTTGGGAGGTCGACAGAGATGCGCGATCCCCCCTTATGGGAGCCACTAACTAACTTAAGACATCTTAAGACTATAGTGACTATAGAGCATAAGGAGGTGCAATGGATTTGAGGTAGCCATCAAGGATGATCAAAGCATATCGAAGAAGTGTTCTGTTTTGGGAGATAGTGTAGCTAGGTTTAAACCACACTCACACATGGAATGCTTTGTTCTTCCAATTTTGTTCCAAGGCCACACCAAAATGCTTTGACTCTGATGAGTGATATTCTTAATAATGATGTAATGCATGACCATCTGACAAAGTTGCAAGAAGCCACATTTCTTTGCAATAATGACAGTGCCAGCATTTATAGCTTTTCACCCGAGCCATTCCAATTCACCGTCGTGCCTGGCTTTGCCTTCGACCATCTTCGACCTTAGCGACCCCCACGCGCCCAGAACGGCCCCCATGCAGGAGTTCCGCTCCGAGCGCTATCGCCGGCGCGGCGGCGAGTGCGGCTTGGACCATCGGGACTATCAGGAAGCCGCCGATGAACACATCTTGGAAGAGGAAGAGGCCTGGTCGATGGGGCCGATGGGGGCCGATGTGGGCCGCCTCGCGCCAGGGCCCGGTGAAGGCGTTCCAAGTCCAGTTTTAGCCGAAGAGAAACACCACAAACATCCACAAACCATGTTTACTATATCCCTGGGAGTCCAAGGCTATTCTTAAAAGGGTCTTTACGGAGACGATCGGGTCGGGTCTCGCGCGCTTGGCACCGGTGAGAGGACCCGTATTGGTGGCGCGGGGATCCTGAGACGCTGTGCTTCGACCTGCTCAGCACCTCCGAAGAGAACCTGACGCATGGAGCGCCGACGACCATGCAATGGCGGGGCCCGGCGGGCATAGGGGCGGGACCGGAGGAGGGATAGCTGATGAGTGGCCTGCAGGAGGAGATTCGAAGACGCCTTCAGAAGTGTTCAGGTCTTCAATATGTCTTCATGTTTTGTTTATAATGCGATTCTCCTTGGTCAAAACGGTCAACCCCCCCTCCCCCAAGCAAAACAGGTGGGACGTGGAGCTTTTGGCCGAATCGGCCCACTTCGTGGCGCTCACCAAGCCGGCGGGCATGTTCGTGGTCACCGATGAGCGGGGCCTGTGGGAGGAATCGGCCACGAACTTCATCCACGTGGCTCATCGGAGGTCGGGTCGGGGCGCGGTGACCGGGGGGGTTTGACAGCGGGGAGCGGGGGGGGGTTACCTGGAGAGGTGGAGAAAGGAGGGGGCTGGGAAAGAGGATCTATATGATTGTCTATATGAGTGAAAGGGGCATGGCGGCCAAAAGAAGACTCACTTGCCATTGGTTGGCCAGAATGGTTCCGGATTTTCAGGTGCCCCCTGCAAAGGAAGAAGTGTGTGTTGAACATGTTCTCTGATACAGAGGGACGACCATGCACGTATCCACTGCCTGTCCTTGAGACCTGAGAATCCCATGATTTGCGCCCTGCGGATGAGTCAATTGGCCACAGGGTGGAGATGCCGACGCGCTTTGAACCACGGCAGCGGGGCATTTGTCATCGCTTGGACTCGCACACCAGCGGTGTGCAGATCTTTGGAAAGTCCTTTGATGACTTCAAATACTTCGTGGGGCAAAACAGCATCTTGGTACAATTGGTTCTTCGGAATGCTCCAAAAGACCCAAGGGGGGTTTGGGATGTCTTTGGATGGTTTGGGGATGTTTGTGCTGGATCCTTTACTTATCCCTCAACGGCTGGGGGCCTGGGAGAGTAACTCTTTGGAAGAGTCATGGATACGCGCTTCGAATCAGGATCGGTTCATCCCACCCTCATGTGTGGGAATAGTCATGAACCTTGGACCCAAACATGGACCACTGTCCACACTCGCAAGGGGGCGGACCCAAAACAGGTGGAAAACAGGCATCACAGGCCATGGGTCGCCCTATTGGGTTTCCCCCATTCACCTCATTACCTTTGGGGAAGCTTTGGTCCCAACGGATCGTCTCACCGTACCCGTCTCTCCATGTCGAAGAGCGCTGCGAGGCTCGCATCGCGTGCAGAAGGAGTATATCGCGCTCTTGGAGGGCCGACTGGGTGGTGAAGATGGGCCCTTCACGGGAGTCTCTTGGCGAGTCCAATTCCACCCGAGCAGACCGTCTCGTGGTGCTTTCGTCGCTCGAGACGTGTGTTCCGCACCGCGTGGAGCCCCCCCGCCGACCCGAGTCGATGCTGAGTCTCTTCAGGTGATTGACGTGCCCATGAAAAAGTGGCAGGACCGCGGATGACTGCTGGGCTGGCATGGAAGACATCCAAGGTGTAGTTATAATAGGTGTTTTAGAGCGGTCCTCGGAGAATCATAGTCAAAATATGCAATCCCCAAGAAACATCCAGAAAATTGGAAGACATCCAAACCCCCCAAAGTAGAGGAACTATGGGGACTTTCACATGCCAGGTCACTTACTTCCCACAATGCCTCCCGCCCCACTCTACCTCATCGCAGACAATGGGGACTCTTGTCACAGGTTAAGTTTACGCATGTGCAGGCAGGTAGGTAGGTGGTGTATAGCTTCAAACAAGAATCCTTTGTTGAATTTACCTATAGTAGTAATACCAGGAGCTACCAGTTCGTAGTAGTACTGCCAAGAGCTACTAGTTCCGTCCTTGCTCCTAACAAGTGTACACTAAACAGCTTTGGGCTTTGGAGGGAGGACATTTGAGATGACCGAAGTGTCTTGCAGGATTCTATGGAAAGGCTTGTCAATCTGGAACCCATCTCTTTATCCCTCAAGAAGAAAATTATTGTCCTAGTATGTATTGAGGGATGTTGAGCATTGGCTTTATATCCGTTCATATCCACACTAAGAGAAACATAAGAGCCTCCATGAGTGTATCAGAACCCCCGGCCGTTAGCCCCCCAGCAAAACGATGCCAATTTCATGGCAGAACGCATGTTCATGCTTTTCACGCAGGCCAACTACTGTACCCAACTTGTTCATGACTGATGACCTCTTATGACCCAAACGTACCCTGTACCGATCTTGCAAGTCAAGAATGAGAGGCATTTGATCCCATAGATGACCTGGATGAGTGTGCCTCCCTTGCATGGAAAGATCCGCTTTTGCACTTCCCCATATTTCATCATATGTATCCTTTCTGAAAGAAAGCGGAAAACTGCGACCAGTTGATGAGATGATGTGGGTTTCCTCTTCAAACCATCTTTATTCACACCGCTTCGCGGCGAAGACCACCCGCACGGAAAGCACTTGAATCAGCCCCAATAGTCAAATCCGCAGGTGCAAACATGCAAACGCTTCAAAGATGTAGTTCCACTCGGGCAGCATAACTAACATCGCCAATGATTTGCTCGATGTTCATTTGTTTGGCTTCAAACACAGTGCATTCTAGAGTAGGGCATCCCTCCCCCAAACTAAAGCTTAATGAGCGACCTAGCAGACAACGCCTCGGCCCCTTTCACTGGCGGATTTATGGTCCTGAATGAAATGAATGAATATTCTTTGGGTCCTGTTTCTGTTTGTTTTGGGGACGGCTGCGATACAAGTCCGCGGGAACTCGCCCCGCGAACTCGCCCCGCGAACTCGCAGGATTTCGTGCGACGTGAATTTGGCAGCGTCACCTGTACCAAGGAGCAGTTGAAATTTGTTGAAATCTGTTTCGGTTTGTTTTAGGCTTTAGGGTGAAGGATGGCGAAGGGGGAGGCTGGGCGAGGCAAAGATGCAGGAAGATCTCATGATCCAATTTCTCCAAAGAGGGTGCTATGGAGCATGGATCTACTCAATCTAATTTCCACTGGGTCCATGCAAAGCAAGTGGTCCATGACAAAGATGGTGCCAAAATGTGCAATCCTGGTATATAGCCATGGGATTTTTTGAAGGGGCCATGGCCAGCGGCATAGACACATGGCAGTTCTGGCACGGTGCACTGTGCATGTGAGTCCTTCAAGAGCTACAGTGTGCGACACCAGCTGCACAAGCCACCAGACACTGTCTTCACCCCTCAAAAGAGTATGATATCATCGTGTTCAACTTCAGGTCCCAGACCAGCATCCTTTTGGGAAGACTAGCGCGAGACTCGAGACGGTTTCAATAACAGGGTGATGTTCCGATGCATCCAAGCGTGGCATCCAAGCGTGCTGAATGGCTTTTGCGCACTGAAAACACTGACATGGCTCCAGATCCCTTCCTGCGAACCCCCTGGACCCTGCCAGGGCCCTTGCACCACTCACATCCACTCACACAGGGAAACGGCCCCCGATCTGGTCAGGAATCCCAAGGCCGCACCGCTGTGACGTGGTATTCCGTTCTGAGGCGGGGGGGACTCACTAGGGAAGTGGGACTCATGGGCTCACCACTCGTTTCTTCAAGTTGTGAAGGCATTTTCGCATGGGGAGAAGGCGTCGAGAAGCGAAGCAGTAAGCAGATCTGAGATGATTCTAGGTTTCAAACAGGTGACCATCTGCCGCTGTTGGGATGGTCAATCTCATTCAATCTCCAATCCACCGGACCTGTTAAGAGAAATCTCAAGTTCTGCAGGACTTGAACAAGGCTGAAAATGCACGCTTCCGATTCCAAGTGCTTCCCTCTTCCCTGGCTCAACATTCCGGCCCAGCCTCTCCTTCAGTTGCCCGGAACACCGTGGCCGAACCGGCTGTTCCGCCGGCGCCTTGGCACGCCAGGCATTGGCGCGTGCCTGCCGTCGGCCGCTTGGCCTTCTGGGGCCAGGATCGCTGGTTTACACTGGTTCAGCTGCGAATTCTGACAGGACGGAGCGGGAATAAGGGGGGTTTGAGACGAGACATGAGCTGAAACTTGAGACCGTGTAACATGCGTGGGGGGGAACACGTGGACACTCTTCGTCCGGGAAAAGGATGATGCGTGAGGCGTCCATTTTGAAAAGAAAAGACAAGAAGGTCGAGCTTTTTGGAGGGGCATGTGAAGGATGCGAATGCAGGACGTGAGTTGAGCTATTGTGACTATATGGGTGCGAAAGTGAGTAGGTTGAAATATTATGATATATCACGCGGAGACACGCATTTTCCGATGGTCAAGACATGATGGGCAGCAACATATTCACAGAATTTCACAGATATCCTGAAGATATCCGCGTACAAAATCCACCTCTGCACTTCATGTGTACTGTAACTTATATACTTAACACAAAACGCATTGTTTTCCCGTTTTCCCGCTGCTCAGAACGGGCTTCGCGCCACCCTCGGTCGCCTTCTCGCCATGGCTCCCCAGTCGAGTCTCCGCGCGACCACGGACGGACCGACGGACGGACCGACCGAGCCTAGCAGGACGGACGCACCAAATTCGCCTGCACATGGCCTTTCTGGGCCATCCGCTTCTGGGCAGAACATGGGTGAAGGCGTGGCGGGCGTGTGGTCAGAACACGACTGGTTGGATGGACCCACCCAGGACTCACGACGGTTGTGGACTGGCATAGTATGGCATATTTACATACATTGACCCCCTAAAACTACCCCAATGTGTGTGTGTGAATATGCCATACATGGATACATGGGGTGTTTGGGATTGTTTTCTAGCGTCAATGTGAGGCGTCAGATTTCTACAGGTGAGGAAATGGTGTCAGATGTCTTTAAGTTTTACCCTTTGGTGGCCCACCAAAGGCTTGCTACACTCGTAAGTGTTTGAGCCTGATGTGGGTGACCCGTGACCCACCGGACCGCGGGAGGACCGAGAGCTTCTCGGCCCAGGTTGGTGGGAGACATCAAGTACAACGCCAGCCGCTACGAGCACGACTGTGCAGTGGTGCCCCGAATCTTCTTGCACTGCCTGAGAATGGAATTCCAGGAGAGGGTCCAATTATATCATATTACAGTATCATATATTATACATACGTATTATATGTATACTTTTGAGCTGTCCTATTACCTGTAACAGTCAGTAAACACGTGTCACTATTTTTGAACAAGGCCTGCAACCTAACCATCATCATCCCCTGAGGCCCAGGTAATAGGATAGACCCAATGTATACTGTATGTTTTTTTATTTTTTCGTTTTTCTAGACCATCCATTGGACAATAAACCAATCAATTGACCCCGCCTTCAATCAGCCACCCCAACTGATGGGTAAATAGGCCAGTCCCATGGATGGTCTGGGATTGGAAGGCTTAGGGGCATAGGCATCTGAGGCTTAGGTGGTCAAAGATGTTCAAAGAACCTGAAGAGATCGAAGCCTTGAGATGATGAGTTCCTGGCTGAGATTGAAGTTGACACATACCTAGACCCTCCCGAGGCAATAATATTTGCCGTAACTCATTCTTTCTGCCGTAGCTCAATCCCTGGAAAGTGAAAACGCCGTCAGAGAAGTGAAAACGCCGTCACAAAAGAAGAATCGCCGTTTTGTTTGATCTACCAAAGAGGATATTGTTTTGGTCCGTCCATATCCTGAAATTGCCTTCTCCATCCTTCTCCTTTTTCACTTGTAAGTAGAGCTCATCGTTTTCAAGCCTCATGGTGCACTTCTCAAGATGTTGCACCCTTGTCTAAGGTCTCGATTGACATCACGGCAGGATTTGTTCACATTTTGATCATGCAATGGCTGAAAGGATCGCTTGTGACATGTTGTGACAAGTCTTGCTGCCACCTTGAGTGACCCTAGACAGGGTAAGGGAACGACGCCGCAAGTAGGGGGAAAACGCCGTAAGTACGGGGAAAAACGCCGTAAGTACGGGTAAGAGCGCGGCAACTTTAAACGCAAAGTCTTCTGCAACGCCGCGCAAGAGGTCGAGTTACCCGCGAAAACCCAGCATGTGACACTTCCATCAGCTGCCCTTTCCACTTCACATGACTATGCGAGTTTGCTGATATAATAAGACGCCTTTTACGTTCAGTTGCCTTTCAAGCAAGACCCTACAATGTTTTCATACTCGCCTGCACTAAAGCTAAAACGAAATGACTCTTTGAGGCGCATGGATGTGTGGACCAAAATTGCCGTCAACTGACCGAAACTGTCGCAGTTCATCAAGAAACGCCGTCCCCATGAGATCAATATGGAAGAACGCCGCAGAACGGAAAAAGGCGACGTTTCATGAAAACGGCAATTATTATTGCCGTAACGAAGTTCCAGGTATGGGTAACCCCACTGGGGTTGTTCAATGCGGCGCTGCTCTGCTGTGCTCGCTTCGACTGTCCGCGGTAACCCCACTGGGGTGCAAGAGTGATAAAACCAAGTCGCCTACCCCAGAAAGTGTAGCTATCGTATTAGGTCTCCAGATATGGTCATGGCGAGGACGTGGATGGAGAGACCTTTACTGCTGCCAGCCACTCGGGTCGCAGACGATGGGTTTGGACTGCCTCACTGCCCAACGACTCTCCCCTAGTAATGCACCGCGGGGTTTGGGGATGATTGTTCCTGTAGCAAGGTGAAATCTTACATTGTGGGAAGTGGGAAGGTAGGGGAGACTTATCGAAAGAATGGTGCTCTACCCACTTCCCATTTAGTTCTGGCACCAAGGTGAATTGGCTCCCGATTTGCAGATGGTACTTTGCGAGTTGCAAAGACTATCGGAAGGACACGACGAGGAGGGGAGATGCTTTAGAAATGTGTGCTTCGCATGTTTCAGACGGCCAAACCAACTCGCGATCGATCCATGTTCAATCCATGTTCAATCTGATTTCGTGATCTGCAAAGAAGTTCTGGCCAAAACCCTGAGGAGGAACGGAAGGGAGAACTTTTTCCAGGCACTGCATGTCCGATCGATCCCGCGAACGAAATATAAGGTGATTTTTGATGATTTTCCCAGACACGAGCTGTCTGGGACTGCCAGTCCGGACTGCCGATCAGTCGGGGTGTGTTTGGGGGTCAATGTAGGCATATAGCAATATGGCAGTCCCATGGATAAAAATCAAGTCGTCGCGTCCATCAGCGCGCTGAGTCGTCACACATGGCAGTCTCGCCCCGCGCGTGGCAGTGGGCGCGACCAGGCCTAGCAAAGATCTTGCAGCGAAGCAAGGCGCCAGTGGCCAAGCCCAGCGCACAGGCGGAGAACAAGCGGAGCACTCGTCCGGTGGCGCACATGGACCGAGAGATGTGGAGGAACTCAACGCATTTGAATGCATTTGGTGGAATTGTGTAGTAGAAATTTTATAGGAGATTCAGATCCAGGCAGGGAATCACTGTTGAGTTGTTCAACTATTAATAACGACCTGTGAACAGTATCACCTCTTAAACTTCAATTTCCCTGCTCACCGGTGGTCAGCCTCCAACAAAAACAGCCCATCGATCTCGGAGAATTCCACTGAAAGGAGGTGCAGGTGCTTCATCTCATCCAGGAATCGTGTCAATTCGACCGAAAATCCGATTGGATTCCCGTCGGCGCGTCCGTGGCGTGGTGGCGCGTCCTGGGTTTGTCGTCGGCCCCAAGCGTCGCGATGCCTCGAAGCTTTGGACGCAGGAAGATGAAAGCATCCGGCACTTTTGCAAGAATTGCGGTGAATACGAGGCGCGGTGAAGCGGGGTTTGTGTTTGAAGTTGGTGGACCGGTGTCGAAAAGAAGAGGATGAGTACTGGGATGTATTAGGTCAAGGCCAGTGCAGCTCGCAGCGAGCGGGAACGTTTGCCATGTTTCTGCGTTGCAGGCTCAACCTTTTCACGCGGCAGGTGTGAGTGAACTCAGCGCGATTGGCAACAGAACTCTTCTTCCCCACTGATTTACTCCAAGTTCCACATGGAGATCCGAAAGTCCACCTATTAAAATACACGGTGCAATAAAAAAACGCCATCTAGACTCTTGATTGATAGACCGCCCCAGTCTGAAGAGGCTTTTCAATCCATGTCGGAGCTTGATGTACTTCAAGAGGCTTATGGAGTCCCCGACACTCCATGGGACAAGATCCCCCCCAAAATACCTCTCTCATTCCAAGGAACACGTCCAACTTCAAGAAAAAACCTCGGCATCACGTGTTCAAAAAATATCCTATAGGCAAGTGCCAAACTGGACATGACAGAATTTCTTCCATGCCCAAGAAGACTCTGGGTGTGTTGAGCAGGTGAATATATCCCTCTCTTTGCCGGTCAACCGTCAGCCGTTCACTGGACGCTTGTGAGCTCCTTGTGGGGCAAGAGAGGTGTTTTCAGACGATGGGTTCCACCCCGTCGACGCTCCGTGGACAACGACGACCCGGCGGATCCGCCAGGTCGCCGAGCGGCGCCAGATCCACGACCGGCGCGCGGACGAGCGCCGGGCGATGTATTGGCGGATGAGGCCGCAGGAAGGCGCGTTTTGGGTCGTAGTAGTGGGTTTGGTGAGGGTTTGGGTGGGGGAGGGTGGGGTGGTAGATGGTGGTAGTGTTGGTCGTGTTAGGTCGAGCTGCTGATTCTGACAATAGATGAACATTTGAACTAATATAAATTATAGTTAGAGGTCAATATCATATATGAGGTTTGCTGACAGGGCAAAGCAAAATGAGGGGATTTGACATGGCTTTATGATCCTTTATGTGTTGTTTTGGTTGCTTTGCTTTTGGCCTCTTGCTACTCCTTTGTTCTCGAAGTTGACAGTATCCCAATGTTCACCTTGCGTGACTGAAGACACGGACCGAATGACCACCAGGCCCTAGGTCGGGCCTCTATAGGCTTTCGGGGACCAACGTCCATGCAAAAATATCCTCTCGGGGGGGGCAAATCCCCCGGTCTTCGAGTTGTTTCCAAGCGGTTTGCGGAACCGGTGAAGCTCTCGTCGCTGTCGACACGTCGGTGGAGGAACGCGAAAGAACCTGCGTTCCTTCGCACTCGCAGACCGCGCCGTCCGCGTCGTGCCGGACCGCGCCAGGCGAAGTGGAAGGTCCATCGGATGGTCGCGGCAAGTCTTGGGGACCTCAAATGCTTTGGGCCCCTGGGCGAATCATCCGATCGGTGCGATGAGTGTGGGAGGGTTGGCCTGTGCTGACTCGACTTGGAGCAGTAAAAACACTCTTCAACATCTAAAGGAGGCGCATGGAGGCAGACACAGGCAGACAATACTTTGTCCAGAGAAAACTGATGACAAAAGTCGGAAGAAAGGACATGAGTAGAAGTTCATTTGACATCTTTGCTGAGGTGCCGACGGAGTTGCAGAATTGATTGATGTGGACGTGCCGCAAGTGATGTGATTTGTTGGTAGCACTTGAAGGCTTGAGACTTCGCCGAACAAAGTGTGCCGATACCAGCCATTGCTCATTTCAGATGATAGACAGACATGGTCATGTCATTGGCTTGCAGTTTCTGCGCTGCAATGCTGCCAAAACGAGATAAAACGAGGTTATACAGATGATCTGGGAATTCTGGTGGCAAACGATTGTGAAATTTCGCGTTTGCCGCGTTTGACCAATCGCAGGGTCGGCTCAGACGGCCAATGATCTTCATGTCGAGCGGCCGCGGCCAAAGATCACAGGCAGAACACGGCTGGAGCAGCTGAGCAGGCGCCGAAAGCTCGGGCTTTCAATGCAGATCTCCCCCCAGTTTCTTTGTTTTTTGACCCCACATTTAGGGTTAGATTTAGATGTTAGATGGTTTTCAGATTGGCCGATTCTCTCCATCCGGAATCAACTTTGCGTAAAGAGTTTATGGGGCCGTTCGCAGTTCTTGGACACTGTCCTGCAATTTCTCCGTTCGCGTTGACGCACGTGCTGTGGACGCGCACGCTGGGCGCATGGGCCACTTTCGCCTTTCCTCCGATGGCGTTGGAAGATTGCTGCTGAGGATGGAAAACGCGGCTTCCGCTGCATTTGGGCCAGAATGGGAAGAGACCAGGGACGATCTTTGATTTTGGGATCAGGTAGCCATGCTCAAAGTCGAATAGCAAGTATGGCGCGTTTTTCCAGAAACCTGCAGTTTCTTTGAGATGGGAGAGGGAGAGTAGGGGAGAGCCATGAGAATTTAGTTAATGATACCTCTGTGCATTCCACGTAGATAGTACAGCTCAAACCCACATCTAACAATTGACATGTTTTTCACATCTGTGATCACTGTGATCCGACTGAAATGCAGTATTTGGCTCGTGGCAGGGAAGTAAGAACTTGACTTGGATCTATAGTGATGGCAATCAATCCTTTGAGACATGTTTGTCTTCACCCTTAGTGATTGAACTCGTGATCAGGCAGACGTCTATTTGCTGCTCAACACAAGCTGATCAGACGCCAAGCTTGCACGGCCTGTGCAAGCAGAACGCTTTGAACACTGTTGAGCTCTCTTCCTTGAAGCCTTCCTTGATACCTTGATTCGTCCGTTTTGGCACACAGAGTTTGCCGAGCTGATCAGACGCCAAGCTTGTACAGCCTGTGCAAGCAGACCTCTTGGAACATGTTTGAGTTACTTTCCTTGACGCCCTTGATACCTTGATTCCGCGGTCTTGGCCAACAGAGTTTATGCATTTTGCGCCAGTCTCAACGAAACGAGCGCAAAGAGATTCCTTCAACCTATCGTTGGCACGGTCTTGGTCGGGTTCAAGTGATAGTGCCTTGATTGGTACTGTGAAACATGCTTACACATGCCCTATAATGAGACCCTGCCTCTTATTCTTATCTTCAGCCAGAAGAAGATCCTTTCATCTCAGCATTGTTTGATGTTGATGGCTGTTGATCTCCCGATTCAACCGTTTCCGTTGGCTTGAAAGCCTTAGAGGCTCTGATTCTCCGGGCCAGGTCCGGAAGAGGTTCTTGGATCCAGCAAGGCATGCTTGGCACCTCGCTTGCAGCTGGTTCCTGGGATTAATCGACTCCTCTTGATCTCTTCCAGCTTTCGGCAGATCTGCCAGACATTCCGACGAGCAGCGTGAAAACCCTCCGGTTGGAGAATGTGTTGCATGTCGTTCTGGAACGCTTCTGCAAAGGGTGAAACCGAGCCACGAAAGATTCAAGACAGCTCTTTGCAAGCTCGAAAAAGAACACTTGGTCCCCTGGAAAGCTGCTCGCAGAAGTTCAAACTCTTTAGGTGTTTGACTCTTCCCAAATGCTCTTGAATGAAATGCTCCGATGCATGACAGTAGACTCTCAACTCCTCCACACAAGGCAAGGATCCTAAAATCACATGTGCAGGCTGCGCAGGAAACAAACCATGAAGTCACATCGCATTCGGAGCTGAGAAAAGCATGTATATAGCTTTGACTTGAAATCTTTGTCACGCAATGCAATCTGTTAAACTTCTGAATGTGGTGCCATGTGTTCCATCAAACTGGGCGGCCGTCACTTGACACTTACTTGAGAAGGCTCCTCTTTTGCCATTCAGACCTTGTTTGGTCATGCTTTCAGTCTATAGTCAAAAGGAACACCTCAGGGCCGAGCAGCGCAGATTGCTTTGCCGATGTTGCATTCTAAATTCCGTCGAGGTCAATCACTACATTCAGCCATATGCGGTCTGACGTTTTGGATTCGGTATCTTGTCAACTAAGTCACAAGGGCTTGCCTCTATCTCCTCGCATGGTGGAAGATGTACTCAGTAATGATGGTGGTGGGGAATCTGAGCACACACTTTCATTAGATTTACGCTCGTTTTCGCGATTTTTCATGCGTAGCATGAATTCCCCCCTCCTTTTGCACCCTTTTTGCATTCGTTTGCTTGATTCTTGTTCATAATGCCCTCTAGCTGATGACCAAGCCAGCTGATGAACAAGCCAAATACAGCTCACGCCCTCGAAGCAAGCGGAAAGTGCTACTAGTGGTGAATTTGTGCGCTAAATGGTGGGGGAGGCAAACCATATGAAAGATCCAGGCAGAGTACATTCACACGGGTCACATGCCAGCGATAGGCTTGCAATGGTGTCAACAGCATGAAAGTCACAAGACTTTGTTGATGAAGTTCTCATAAAGAGCCATTGCCTGATCGAACATGTCACATTTGTCCAATTTGCCTTACAGCGGAAGATCACCAAAAGAAAGATTACGTAACATGTGCGCAAGGAATCGTTGTATTATCGGACCACTTGCCAAACCAATGCAAGCGTTTGGTCTCCGCTCGTCAATGCGTTTTTGGCCAACTGGAGTACTGCTAACTTCTTGCGGAAACGGAAGATCCGCCTGACAGGTCCTGTTGGCTTTGCTGAAGCTTTTTGCGAGCTCGTTTGGTGTGCTCGACCAGTCAACCCTTCTTGCTGTGGAGCCTTGCGGTGGCACCATGCCAAAGTCAAACGTTTGATAGGCCAAAAGATGCCAAAAGAATCGTTCAAAGGTCAACATTGAAGAAAGACCTCGTCTACCACGTGCAGTAGCAGCCAATGAGTCAATAAGTCTTTGAAGACTCAATTGCTTTGCCCCTGGCATGGACCCTGAAGGTAACTAAGCCTTGTCTAAGGTCGTGGTCTGTCATTTGTTCATAAGGCTTCAGAGGGAAGTGCCCATAGGTCAGGGTTTATCCTGTGCATGAAAAGCCATTGTGTTGTGTTGCATTCATTGCTTGGAGCATTCTCTTCGAAGTGAGGTATGTGATTTGGCACGTACGTCACGTGCCCCATTGAGTGGCACGTGCCGTCGGACGAACACCGTCGTCCTCGGTGTGGTGCTCACTCCGAGGCAAACGAACAAAGGTCTTCCTGGGCGCTGGTCGAGCACGACTCTTCAGCGGTGCGTTTGGAGCGGTGCGATGGCAGTGCGTTCGCCGCCATCAGATGCGCCGTAATCATCAGGTCAAAGAAGCTCCGACAAATAGACGTATCTCGTCCAGCTGACGATGCAAGATCGAATCTCCAACAAGTCCAGCTTACTTGGGTAGAAGGGGAGATGACCCGGCGCTCAACTCGCTCAACTGAGCTTCCTCCCTCCCGAAAAATCTCTCTTTTGAGGTGTTGTTGAAAACGACCACAGAGCCCGAGCATTCGGGCACCCCCTAGGGCATTTCGAGCCCTAGAGCACTTAAATGCTACTTGGGATTTGCATTCGAACATCTCTTACAGAAGACCTTGCAAAACGAGATGCGCCCGCCTTCAGGTCCAAAGTTTTTGCAAACAACCAGGTGATCTTTGGAAGCGAAGCATGATCTATAGCTGCCAAAACGAGATAAAACGAGGTGATACGGATGATTTGGGAATTCTGGTGGCAAACGATTGTGACACCATCGCGTTTGTGTTGGACCCTCCGCAGCGTCGGCTCAGACGGCTGATCTTCATGTCGAGCGTCGGCCAAAGACGGCAGAACACGGCTGGAGCAGCTGAGCAGGCGCCGACACCTCGGGCTTTCAATGCAGATCTCCCCCCAGTTTCTTTGCTTTTTGACCCCACATTTAGGGTTAGATTTAGATGTTAGATGGTTTTAAGATTGGCCGATTCTCTCCATCCGGAATCAACTTTGCGTAAAGAGTTTATGGGGCCGTTCGCAGTTCTTGGACACTGTCCTGCAATTTCTCCGTTCGCGTTGACGCACGTGCTGTGGACGCGCACGCTGGGCGCATGGGCCACTTTCGCCTTTCCTCCAGGCGATGGCGTTGGAAGATTGCTCGTGCTGAGGATGGAAAACGCGGCTTCCGCTGCATTTGGGCCAGAATGGGAAGAGACCAGGGACGATCTTTGATTTTGGGATCAGGTAGCCATGCTCAAAGTCGAATAGCAAGTATGGCGCGTTTTTCCAGAAACCTGCAGTTTCTTTGAGATGGGAGAGGGAGAGTAGGGGAGAGCCATGAGAATTTAGTTAATGATACCTCTGTGCATTCCACGTAGATAGTACAGCTCAAACCCACATCTAACAATTGACATGTTTTTCACATCTGTGATCACTGTGATCCGACTGAAATGCAGTATTTGGCTCGTGGCAGGGGAGTAAGAACTTGACTTGGATCTATAGTGATGGCAATCAATCCTTTGAGACATGTTTGTCTTCACCCTTAGTGATTGAACTCGTGATCAGGCAGACGTCTATTTGCTGCTCAACACAAGCTGATCAGACGCCAAGCTTGCACGGCCTGTGCAAGCAGAACGCTTTGAACACTGTTGAGCTCTCTTCCTTGAAGCCTTCCTTGATACCTTGATTCGTCCGTTTTGGCACACAGAGTTTGCCGAGCTGATCAGACGCCAAGCTTGTACAGCCTGTGCAAGCAGACCTCTTGGAACATGTTTGAGTTACTTTCCTTGACGCCCTTGATTCCGCGGTCTTGGCCAA